TATAAAAGCATACACTTATTTTGTATGGAGGATCAAAGGCACAAGAGTGTTGTCTCATAATGCCAATATCTTACCCTTTTCTATACAAACATGCCAAGGCTTAGGAAGGAGCTGCAAAGGAGGAAGTTGACAAGAAACCAGAGAATCAAGACCTGGGCATCTCAAGGCCTCTTCTTCTAATTCATCATATCATTATCGTCATCATTACTGTAATTGTGATCTTTATTATCATTATCAAAACTGATATCTGCAGTCTCATATATGGCCCTTCTCTCTGTACTACTTTTATTTTTGCTATAAATGGCATAATGGATAAATAACTATGTGGCAAATTGTAAATATGCAAATATATATTGACAATACACCTACTGTAAATGGATGAAACTGAACTTTCCCATAATTCACCACACAGTTCCTTTTTCTGGTTTGCTATCTTTTGCATTTTACCTATTTGTGAAAAAAAAACATAAGACAAATTGCAATAAAACTTTCAAAGTTTTCTCATTCCTTTTAAACACAATATATACAATTTCTTCAGCCAATTCAAACCACTTGGAAAGTTATTCTAAATCTACCAAGTGCAAATGGATTAATGAAAATGACTATATGAAGACTGAAAACTAACAAAAACTACAAAAATATAACTATCAAGTAAAATAAACCTATTTCACAAAATGAAAAAAGAAAAAAGTCAACAGCATTATAATCAACTATCTCATATCTTTTATTATCTAAAACAAGACTAAGTCCTCTACTTTCAAGCCTATATCAATGAATACAATTAAGGCCATTCCAAAAATATTAACGACACTTATCTCCTGTTATCCTAATTAAATCCTCTGTGTGGTATAGTGGTTTCTTGCCCTCTCACTGTAATTCACTACAAGTGATTCTCTATCTCTACAAGATATACTAAGCTATAATTCTATGCCATACACACACACACACCTAAACACAAATTACTCAACACAGTTATTATTGCCAAAACCCTTTTCAACCTCATCATCATGGTTATTCGCTTCAGTTCCCGTGCTCAAAGGTCCCTGCAAGGAAGTTCTTAAATTCCCTGTACTTCACAAAGTACAATTCATGTTCTAATGAAACTAAAAGCACAAAGCTCCATTAAATTAAAAAAACAACATTCTAAGATACAGATTACTTTTGAATCCACTAGTGAGTACAGTAAAACTAAGTACTGCATCAACATTCACATAATGTATACTGCTCTTCATACATGAAAGACTTGCCTAACCATGAGGTAACCATAATAATTAGGAATGTTATTATATACACAGCACAGCAAACTGGTGTCAATACATACAATCATATAAAAAATAATGACATGAGTACTGCACAAGAATTACTGTTAATTGTACATTATACATTCATAATAAACTTGAAGGGGAAAAAAATAATAAAATACTGATATCAATTCAAAAACATTCTCAGCACTTATATTGTTGTCCATAATAAATGACTGACTATATGATCAAAAACCTCCATGATCACCATTCTTGGTTACTATATAAAGGAAGAAAGCCTTAGGAGAACCCAAACAAAAATGAAAGGGGATTAACTGAATTTTACATCCACCCCTATATATCACTAGCCAAAGTATTCACACCTTAATCTGGGGACAAAAATACACACTGTAACAAATGCTAACAATGCCATGCTAAGGCTGCCTCTTCCTTGGCCTTAATTCCACCTTCTCCTAAAACCAAAATCTATTACTCTAAACACACTTGTTACTTTTTTTTTAATTAACAAGAAATAATACCCAGAAACTGCCCAAAAATACTACAGCCATAAAATCACAAGTGAAAATACCTCATTACACTAGAGAAAGCATTTAATGTCACCTTACATAGTGGCAGAACACCATAAGCTTCTTTTTAGTTATCACGCATCTACAAGGTACTGCCATGTGTTTAAGAATGTTCTACCTATGCCATATTCTTTAGAACTTATAACCTGTGTTTCTACTGCAATCTGAAGCAGGTTTTCATAATCCTTTTGCATGAACAGAGTTCACTGTTTCAGTTGAAGAAAAAAGGTATGAGGAATCATAAGTTAATGATATTTCAACTTCACTATTTTCATCATGCACAATACCAAAAGTAGGATTAATACACTACTATTGCTGCCAACTTGTATATTACATTTATGTTATTAGACTATTCCATCAAATAAATTTATGAGGAAAACAGTATGGTCTTTTCTCCTTGGGGTGAAAATTACACTAACTCGGGGTAATCTGAAAAAGGAAGCGTATTCTTATCCCAGAGGACGGTTCATGTTTGAGGGTATGCTGACAACGAGCCCCAATTCATGCCTGGGGAAGTTTTTATGCTTTGCAAGCACAGCTCAATTTGAAAACACATCAAACTAATTGAAAGTGCTGTGGCAGACTCTCATATGCACAAAGTTACAGGGAGAAGCTAACTGGGGCAGAATCAAGAAAATATAAATAATAATTTAAATCATGATAATGTGCTTATAAAGCATTCAGTATTCAAGTTGGTAAAAAGATACCCTTAGAATGTTCACTAAGTGTATCCCACCCATGTGTAGTTATGTGTCGTAAGATTCCCAGATCTCAAATTGAGAGACACTAACCACAACAATGCACCTTCCTCACCTCCCACTGTGCAATGCTTTCTATCCCACACCGTAACATCTACAATAGGAGCAGTGGGTAAATACATATTTTTGTTAATGTTGTTGTTCTGTTTGTATTATTCGTAAGTTATTTGAAAGTTGTTTCTTCTTAATCCAAATTCTGTAAATAATCCTGGTTGTGGAAAAGTGAGAGGGTGTAAGAAGCCTGGTAAGAGGGAGGAAAGTTCAGAGTTACATTACAGGTGACATTTTTACTACTATGTACATATTATATAAATATAGTTTTCATATATAAAGTGCTAACAAAATTACTGCTTTAGTTTTAAAACTAAGGAAAAAAAAATCATGAGTGGTGTCAATAACAGCTATTCCTTCTTTCATAATTTGCTCCTGTAACAGTGGATGAATATTTGTTCTTCATGTATAATACAGTTATAGCAGCAATCCCTTCACACTGTGTTTTCATATTAAGCAAGCAATCCCACAATGGTCTACTTCAAACCTAGATCTATCATGCATTAAGTAATCACAATACAGTATAAACAGCACAACAAAGTCTGCAACACATGTAAAAACTTCCACACCCTGTTAAGACTAATGGTATTCTCAAACCACAATGCACAATGCCACTAAGGAAAAGGTAAAGACATGCCATGAAATTCCCTGTCTGCACTCTGGAGGGAGTCCTGTTTCTCTTTTCTCTCTACATTTTTTTTTTCAGCATTCATTCTCAAAGTGAAAACTGTAGCAGTCACGGTTAACCAACTTTCTTGGTATCAGTTGGCAAAAGAGAGCAAGATGATACTAGGCCCGTTCAACAACCTGGTATGACTTGAAAAGGTACCAAAGAAACAAATTACCTGATCCAGTATTGTCTCCCTGAGTACAATATACTTCCTCTCATTCAAAAAAGCTTGCCTTACCTATATCACCTCCTAATAAAAGACCAGCACAATCATCTCATAAACATTTCCAAAGGTTAAAAATTACGAAAAAAAATACACTAAGACTGACCATCAGCACTGCCACTATATAGAAAATGAACTTCCTTTCCATGGGACAAATTCCCATTCTTTTCAATCATCAGGAGACTACAAACACTTCAGACAGACAGACACTAAGATAAAAGCCTTGCATAAACAAGGGCATTTCTTGAGTAAACAATGACAAATTTGAATTCTGGGCTAACGACATCTGAAAGTCAAATATACATAAAACAGTAAAAGAAGCATGCTAATTAGAACAAACAGGAAAAGCCTCAAATACTTTGGACACACAGAAAATGTGTCTCCACCATTTCTGTGATATTCCCCTGGCAACAAATCTTCAATCAAGAGCAGTTAGTATAAGAAAAAGAGGAAAACAAATTTAAAAAAATAATAAATGCTCTGTAACAAAGTAAGTTCCACTCCACAAGACCAGTTAATTTCACTCACATGAGATGAAAAAGTAGTTGAAGAAAAAAGAATGAAAAGAAAAGAAAAGAAAAAAAGGACAAAACAACATTCACTATATCTATTATGTTAAGACAATGCCAAATACCAGAGCCCAATCAGGAAATACATATTTATAAAACAAAGAAGAAAACAAGGGACTGCCAAGAGAGGAAAGTCCAATCATGATCCCAACACAAAAGCGTGCCCCTTCTCTTCACCTCTTGTGCCCGCGGTCCCTCAAGCCTTCGTGGTGGAGGACGTGGCGATGGTGGTGGTGATGGTGGTGGTGGTGGTGGTGCTGAGCGTGCGAGTGGTGGTTGTGGTGATGGTGGTGGTTGTGTGGGGGAGGCAAGTGCAGGACCAAGTGCTTCTTTTTCTGATCGCGGAGGTTTGGCTGGCCTCCGGGGGGCCCCACGCCGCCCAGGGAGAGGGAGTTTGGGGTGGCTGTGACTGAGGTGCCGGTGCTGCTAGTGGACGCTGCAGAGGTGGAGCAGCTACCGAAAGCAGAAGAGGGGCAACCAGAGGCACCGCCCAGCCGACCAGATGAGCTCAGGGCTGTGTTTCTGGGCGGAGGTGGAGGTGGTGGTGGTGGAGGTGCAAACCTTATGTGGCAGTAGAAATTTTGGATGAAAGAGGAATACTGATTCAGTTACAAAAGAAATACTGCCTTCTGCTGTGAAATGCAAACCATTTTCATCTCAGGTGAGGGGAGAGGGGAGATGAAAAAAAAAGAAAGAAAAAGAAGAAAAAAGGAATTCTGATGCCAAGGAAGACTGAACTGAAACCTGATATATTTATACTTAAAGTTTTGAAGTTTCATTCATAATAATATTAGTGCCCAGATTCATCTAAACAATTTTACAAAATTATAAAATAAATCCAGCAATTAAGTAATATGAAAACTAAAGTTCATTTACATTAATTGGAAAAAAGAAATGTATATTTAAACCAAAAATTACAACAGAAAATTTCTTGCCTCCTCAAGAACAGTTATCACAGTAAATAAAATAAATTAGAAAGAATTCTCTGTTTTATTTAAACTGTGCAAAACTAACAGATATTACAACTGTGTAATAAATTTCTTTGAACCACACTATTGTTATTATGGGACATCTATGCATTTCTAATAAATAATTCTCATCATATCATAAGCAAACTGCCTATGCAAAAACAAAAATTCACCCTACAACAACAACAACAACAAAAACTAATACCACAGAATATTGTAATATCAAAGGTGTAATATCAAACAGTAATACAGCTGCTTAAAAATGTATAACGGTCTTGGCAAAACTAAAACTATAAACAGCATATAAATCAATCTGAAGAGGTTTCAAGGTAGGAAAAAAAAAAAAAAAAAAACAGATAAGGGAATTTATATAGAGGTTAGATACTGTATCAATACTGTTATAACCTCAGACTTGTATTTAGCTTGATACAGGTTTTGCTTAAATTGACAAAAATGAAACATTCAACTCATCTAGATACTTTTTCAGGGGTTTAGAAATTATACACAATTCACTACTTGTCAAAACTAGTCTTAAACTGCCTTATCACTAAGAACTAACAACTGGGAAATGGCAGTAATGTCCTCGCTTCTACTCAACTCTTTCTATCTCTGTCTCTGCCTATTGGCTCTCTCTCTTTCAGATTTATTTGTGACTTGTTTCCATTCAAAATAGTAAACAAGATCTCACTGCTCTCCTTGTACAATGGGGCTCATTCACCATACAACAAAATACAAAAACTCCCTCCAAGTGCAGACTTCCAGACATATCCACAAAATGCAAAATTGCAGAAATTATTCACATCTTCAACAAGGTTCTCCAATCTCTGGTCCTACTTCCTGGAAATTCTTCTTTAACCCATTGTGAAAGATGGCATGAAATACATGTCAGGTCCACTGTCATTCTATTTTCTGAATTTTGTTTATGTATTGCATTTTGTCATTAAGGAGTCAATTATTGATTCTATGTATCTGATTTGTTTGCCCTTTTCCTTACTTTTCATTTTTTTTGGCTTTTGTTTATTATTGCTGTTACTACTCTAATAACATTGTAATATTCATAATGTCAACAATAAAAATAATAGGAGCAATATCATTAGTTTCAATTTTTTTTTATTCAGTGTATTGATTCCTTGGTTGCTAAGTATTGTTAAGCCATCAGTGTGCAACAAAATTCACAAAAAAATAAATAAATAAATAAATAAATAAAAAATACAGCGGACGTTACATGTGCCCATTGCCAATGGGTTACCTTCCCTATGGTCAGGCCAGGTCAGGTCAAGGTAACTCTTTCATAGGTGTCCCACTTATTAGCAAGCAAAAATCTCCATAAAATACTCAATAAAAGTGTATAAGAATTCCTGACCTCAAAATGAACTTATCAGTCAAACCCTGACCTGACACCTATGACCTCTCCTCAGCTAAAAATCATTAGGCAGGTACAAAGCATTATACTAACCCACCATCTGGGGATTGAAAGTTGCCTCTTATTTTCCATCAGCACAATCACAGATGCAGATTACAGCCAATAGCAGGGAAATCAAGTTTTATCTGTGAAGGAGTGAGTCAGCTGCTTGACCTGTGCAGCAATCGACACCAATGCTAAAAATTGATTCTTGGTAACTGTATCCAAGCTTTATGAACCTTTCACTAAAGAATAATAGAACAAGAGAACAAGCAATGCTATTAAAACAATAACAATGCAAATAATGAAATACATTAACATCCCTTAAAAACTGTTGCTTTCAGCTTTCAATGCTTAGTAAGGTCAAAATGCAACTGCAGTAATGATGAATAACGCCCACTCAACAGGGGAATCTATTTTGGAGGAAGTATGAGAAATGCAGACAAATAGAATGCATCAAAATCCATCCCATATCTAATAACCCAGCCAGAAAATTCAACTTGCATCAAAACAAAATTCATGATTTAATAAGCTTGATAAGTATTTGCATGCGTGATACTTTGTTCAAAGTTTGGATAACTGCAAGTTAATCTACATATTATACCTCACTAAGATTACATACAACAGAAAGAATAGGTTTCCATGAAAATGCTGATCACTTGTCTATGTATGTGATGGTAAGTAATCATTATTAATGTCTAATGCACCCTTCCATCTTTTATTTCATTCAACAATAGATAATGAAAAACTTCTCTTTAAATGTCTCTATGGGAGAATAAGGAAACAAAGACTGACATATAACTACTACATTTACGATGGGTATTATGAACATATAAAAAAAAAAAATTACAAATGCTGATAAATTCTACCTTCTGTAGTAATTCATAGAGCAAAATATTTACAAAAATAAAAAGCTTACTATGTTTACATTTTTCTTTCTCTATATAGAAGACCTCTCTAAATGTACATTTGTCAACTTTTACAACAAGAAAACACAAAATATTGAGTATGTAAATGTCACCACATAATGT